GCTCTTCCTTTGACCAACAACGTTTGCATCAGCAGCAGGACGAAGAACCTCCTTCGCTGCTTCGGAAGTGCCACCGACTTCGGATTCTGCTACGTCTTCATTTTCAGCAGTGGACCCTTCATCCGTCGTAATGGAAATATGCGATGTTTTCGTCTTTTTCTCATGCAGATCAACATTCCCGTCGTCCTTCTCATTCTTCTTCTTCTTCTCATCACTAATCTCTGAGAACAAGAACTTCCTTTTATTTCCTGCTTCTGCCCGCATCTCATCCTCTGCCCAAAATGGTTTTGTGGAAGCCTTAGCATCAGCGCTAGCAGCTTTGGAGAGGTCACCGAAGAAATTCTGCGGAGATTTACCTGAATCACTTCTTTGGGAACCAGCACTCGGCTCCTCCTGTCTTTGAGAGCTCGACTGGAGAAAGTTCTTGAAGTCGTCAATCACTTTAGAGCTTCGATCTCCTCCTTCAGCCTTATGATTGGTGTTATTGCCCTTACTTTTTCCTGATGATCCTCCACAAAAAAGACCTAAGCTAAGCTCGAGCCCGTTATCATCCTCCATCTCGTGGAATGACGTAGCTTAGTGCAGCCCGACTGAATCACAGATTAACTTGTATAATGACCACAAACTCTCAGCGGCAGCATCTGAAATCGCATAATAGAACATAACGGATTGCTACCGAAGAAACAATCTACTCTTAACAATAGAATGTGAAATGTTAAAGAAATGCAAAGATTAGGAAATCGATAACTGGGAGATGGACTCCATCCCAGAAACATGTCATGAATATTCAGAAACACCTGGCTTTACCAATTACCAATCAAAGTAAATCACTCAAAAAACTTGAGGGAAAAAAATCAGAGATAATCAATTCCACTCGAACTGCAATTGCAAGGAACAGAAGTGTACAGCTCAGGTGAAAGCCGAATACTCAGAACATCGATCGAATCGATTAACCACCTTATCTATGTGCATGTATGTTTTTTATTACCTCTAAACAGACTACAGGCAGTAACCTGAGACAGCCCTCCGCTCGCTCTTACCGATTGGCTTCGGCTCTGTGACAAACAAAGCGTTCCACGGATCAATTTTTTCATTCATTTGAAGTTTTTCACTAAACCAGGACATAAAATCAAATGGATTTTCGAAACATTCTTTCAGCCAAAGTATCAAATCGGGGAGCAAATATAAGATCCATCTACTCCTGATCCTCTGAGCTAGCATGCTTTGCTAAGGAACAACAAGAACATGATATGCAGATCTGCCGACTAAAGAGCTTCACAAATCTCAACCCTTGCAGAATCAGCAGAAACAATAATAACTAAATCAGAATCATGAAATCATCAGAAATCACGAACGACTGACACTCTCCATATCAAAATTTACCAAAAACAACAAAAATGGATCCGATCAGATGAAACCCAAAACCCTAATCACGCAGCAAGCGAGTCACTTATCTGAAAATCGACCGATTTAATCTCGGAAAACCCCAAATAGCCCCAAAAACAGAGATATCAATTCCACGAGGATCGCCGAAACACAGCGAAAGGGAAGCAGAAGAATAGAACCTGAAACTGGGAGCGAGGCGATCGGAAACCCTAGCTTTGGCGAGCGTTGCTCCTTCGCAGCTCCAGAGATTGAGATTGGGGCTCAGGTTCGTAGTAGTGCGGGTCAATTCATTTTCCTCCCACAAAATCTTTTTTTTTTTAAATAAATTTTTTTTTGGACGTTTACATGTGAATCTTATGCAATCGTTTTAAGTGCATGTTGGCATGGGTTTTTCATGACAGCTTTCAAGTATTTGTACCATGTATTTAATGATAAATACAGTATATATTTTTGTAATTAAATTTTCGTCGAAGTCGCTAATTTATATACTCTCTTCCTTTCAAAACACATAATTATCTAAAATATCTTTATTTATTATACAAATAATTATTATCTCTAAATATGTAGAATATTATTAATTAAAAGTAAATCTGAAAAAAAAATATTAAAAAGTATATTGAGAATCTAAAAAGCGTCATTTATTTTGATTCTTAACCGTCATTTATTTCGAAAACGGAGGGAGTAATCTTTTACCAAAATCTGACGCAACGTGAATGTAATGTAACTCTTTCGCATGTGGACACATACACTCATCATATATCGTATGGTCCAAAGGAATTTGTCTGTATCCTGCAAAACGAAACGACGACATACTCTATCAAAACTCACGTGTTGCACACGTGCATATTTCTTTCTATAGGCCCGGCCCAATACAAATGAGATAGGCCCAGCCCGTAAAAAGTGGGAGTCAAATCATCATTCCCTTTTATTCGGTATCTGATTCTCGTCTTTTAATGGGAATAGACCCTTTCGGTTTTCGATTCGATATTCAAGTAGTTCGTTTCAGAAATAGTATTTTCGGTTTTATAAAAATTTGTACCAAACTATAACCGAATATTAAACGGTTCAATGCGGTTTTAGTTGGTTTGGTTCGGAACGGTGCCGTTAGATGAATACCAAATAAGTATCAAACCATAATATATATATATATATATTGATGGATAATTCAGATTTTTGTTCAGTATTTGTACGGTTTGATTTGTTAACAGTTTAATCGGTTCTATAAAAAAGAACACCAAATTAGAACGGGATGTTATTTGGTTCGGTTCGGTTCGGTGCGGTTTTGTTTTGGTTCGGAACTAAATTTACAAAAACTGAAGTGCCTTCGAGTAGTATGGTGAATCCTTGAGTTTTCAGCTTCTAGTCCTTCTTGACAGTTTGGTTTCTTTAGTGGAGCTTCCATGGCAGAGGTCACAGCTTTTTTAGCCATTACAGTGTCTGCGTCAAGATAATCTATATGGTTTAATTAGGGTTTAGATTCAGATATCAAATTCCTTCTACCATATGATTTGGTGATTCACCACAGATACTTTCGTTGATCTCTTCCTAGGTTTCTGACAAGTTTTCAGGTTGTTTTTTTTGTATCTCCATATCAGAAAGAACAGTACACTCTTTGTTCTGCAGTTTAACTATGGTTATATACATATATATATATATATATATATATATATATCTTTTAGTACGATGTCGAGTTCCGCAAAAGATTCATTCAGCTTTCTCTTAGGACAGTACGTACGTTGATCCAGAAAGCACGATAATTTGAAATGGCGCCACTCCGACTGTTGGGTTCTTCTTCCTCAGCTTTCTCCACAAAAAAGCACTATGGCCTCTACTTTTTTTCTCAACACATGATGCATGCATGCATGCATGTAACTATCTATGCATGCATGTGTGTATGTATGCATGTATATATGAATGTATGTGTATGTGTGTATGTATGTATGCATGCATGTATATATGTATATATGTATGTATGTATGTGTATGTTGTATGTATGTTTGTGAAATCAAATTAGTGTTTATTTATATCTTAGTTGGGCGGTTCTATATGTCTTTTTCGTACAGTGTGTGGGGGCCTAACTTAGATAATAATTGAAGATTATATCAAAAATAGCATTTTTCATAAAATAGTACAGCTAAAACCAAAGTTATATATCTTGAGATACGTCAGACATTATTGTCATCGAGATGGGAAAAATACGTAATAGTTGTAAGTTGTAACTCAGTCTAACACCAACCTATAAAATTATATATATCGACCTAGTTTAGTATTATTCATAATGTATAATTTTACACTAAACTCTCGTGATATATAATATATCTATACGGATATGTGAATATCTCTCTCTCTCTGTATATATATATATGTATATAATATACAGGAAGCATGTGAGCAATGTACGCTATTAAAAGCCGTACAATGTATTATGTATGCATAAATTTTACATGCACATGCAACATAAATACACATACAGGCCGATGCAGGATACTATGGTTAGGTGAATGTGGACGACCAATTTAGAGCTTGTGGCAGGCGCCAGGACAAGGCCTTTGTGTACTAAACTGTTAAAAATGTCGGGGTCAAATTTGTAAAATGTCACAAAACAAGGGTTATGAACAGTTACTTATTTTATTTCCCGTCTATATATATATTTTTTTTTGATAATCCGGAAGTTCACCGAACCTTTGGTCCGACTATATCTCTCGGAGGACCGGGGTCAAATTTTTTTTTCCCGTCTATATTGTAAAACTCTTATGTTGCATATTTTGAGTTTTACGTGTTTAGTATAAAATTTCGATACTAGTACGTGTTTTTTTCTGGTTTGAGCTTATTTCTTCGTAGAATCATATTAATTGTAATAACAAGATTAAAATTTATTGTAGATATTATTTTTATTTTCCTATAAAGATAAATAAATTTTCCGATAAAATTTTTCCATAGGTCCATTCCTAGATTATTTACCCATATAGCATGTTCGAATCGAATGTTCTCTGTAATACAAAATTTGTTAATAACCTCGCTATTTTATAGCTCTAAATTAAATTACAATTTCATTTTTGTATAAATATTACTATAGTTGGACATTTTAGTGAGGTTTTTCCTCGTTTCAAAATTCTTGAGTTACCCCATCTGTCTCCTTGTAATATGAAAAGGAAATATGACACTTTATATAATCTTCAACGGAATATCTTAGTAGCTATGATTGAATGGTGAGAGAGTGTTTTTTTTATTATATGATTTTTATTATTATACGGTCCAAATATTTGAATTTATACTGATAAATTAATGATCTCACAAGGTAATTAATGAAGCATGGCAACCCTAGTAGTACCATCCATGCGGCACGTAAGAGTTCACATTTATTAAATCATATTTACCCATAAGAGTTCACATTTTTCATTCTCATTTTTCTTGATTTTCTACCCCTTTTTAGTATATTTCAAAACCATATATTACCTTATTATACACATTGCAATTTCTGTTATATATGCTATATATATATATACACACACACACTAATAGCGTAAATATCTAATAACCTCATCAAATACAACAAAATAAGCTCGTAAATCATTACAAATGGAAAAAAAATATGTCAAACAGTATTTATAAAACAAAATATTATTTTTTTTATTATTTTTTACTGTTTTGTTTTTTAATTTTTAAATCTTGTTTTTTTAGTGAGATTGTGATTTTATGTAGATGTGACAGCTGTCAGATTTTGCCACCTCTTTCTCTCTCATCCGCCTCCTGGCTTGTCTTTAATGTTACCTTTTCTTACTTTCTCTCTCTAGATTTTCCTTAGATTCTCTACATATTTTTTTTCATTTTAAGGTATAGTTGGAAAGTAAGAACAATAAATATATATATATATTTCTAATGTTAATTAGAGCTTATACGCTAAATCATTATATGCTTTTCAGGTAACGAGTCTCTGTGTATTTTAATTTTGTTTTTCTATCAAATATAAACCAGAAACATTTTTACTGTAAGCCGATTCTAAATTTGTTAAAAAAATTCACAATAGAATGAGTATCTCGCCTTATTTTCCCGGTTGGGCCTCTCGTTACCATTTTTGACATTTATTAAACTGGAAGTTATCAACTTTCATGGACATTTTCATAAATATAAATGAATCGTACGTAAGCATGCAATGACCAATAACCATACTTAATAAATGGTATGCTAAGTTGTGAATATCTATAATGTCATTTTCTAATAACATGAAGGAAAATCATATATACCATTCCAGTCTCTCTCTATATAAGATCTATATTCACTCGTCCTCGTCTCAAAACCCATCGAGTCACCATGGTTGACTCGCCCAACTCAGACGCCGGCTCATCCATCTCCACTACCGAGTCGATTTCACCGAGTGATGAACCCGCGAGGACGAAGAACAAGAAGCGGGTCAGACCCCAACCGGGATATCGAGGGGTCCGAATGAGGACGTGGGGCAGATGGGTCTCCGAGATTCGAGAGCCTCGCAAGAAGAGCCGCATCTGGCTCGGCCCCTTCGCCACCGCCGAGATGGCGGCGCGTGCTCATGACGCGGCGGCGTTGACCGTCAAAGGCTCCTCCGCCGTCCTCAACTTCCCGGAGCTCTCCGCTTTCCTCCCCCGACCGGCCTCGAACTCTCCCCGTGACGTTCAAGCCGCCGCCGCCATCGCTGCCGGTATGGATTTCTCCGCCGCCGCCGTAGAAATCCAGTCTCCGCCTTCGGTCTCGTCGGAGGCGTCTACGTCGTCGTCGTCGGAGCTGAGCGAGATAGTCGAGTTGCCGAGTTTGGAGACGAGTCACGACGAGTCGGTGAGCGAGTTCGTGTTTGCTGACTCGGTAGTTCCTGGTTCGCCGTGGTATTTCAGCAACTGTTATAGTTGCAACCATCGCGAGGACGATGGTACTACGTGTGAAGTCTTCGAGTCTTTCAATTTTGGTCCTCTTTTCTCCTTAGAATTTTAATTGTACCCCAGATATTTAAATTCACAATTTAGCCCTCTCCTGGAGGTTTAATTTAATGGACTACCAAATTCACGACACAGTTTAATTGGATCGTCAACAAAGCTGATATATTTAATATTTTGGCTATATATCATATATAATACAATCACAAATATATATATATATATATATATATATATATATATATATCTTCGTTGGTCTAAACAACAATTCAGTTGTTGAAATTAAATAATAAACGCTTAAAATATACGAATTTATTCATGTTAATTTTATAACAGTAACAACACCGAGAATGTCCCTCCTTATATGGCAAGTTAAACTTCAACAATTACCAACAAGAGATCGCTTGCACAGATGGAGGATCCAAGTCAATACCGCATGTTGTCTCTATGGCCTAGAATCTGAAAGTCATCAGCATCTCTTCTTTGATTGTCCTTACAACCATGCTATATGACGCTACTATGCGAGCTGCTGTTGGCATTCTCCTCCCTCATATATTGGCCGACTACAAATCTGGTACCGCAGGAATGAAGTCGTCTCGGACAGAAATAGAGGGTTACTAGTGAAGACCCTCAGCCACCTTACGGTTGACTTGATATGGAAAGAAAGAAATGACCAAATATTCAGGGGTAAGGTAAAATCCATCCAAGAAACTAGAATTAAGCTGGACCGACGGATGCGGACTCTCCTACTGACAGCCACACTTGACAGCAATACAAAGCATACCCGATTACTCGAGGATTGATATTACTTAACGGAAGGTCTTCGATAGATTAAACGAGAAAGCATATCCTGTCAATTGCGCATGAGAATCCATATTGTTAAAAATGTTTTTTTTGTCTTTTGAACTGATGTACTTTTAGGAATTTTAATACAACCACATTAAAAAAAATCAGTAAAGTTTATTTTCAGATAGTTCACAGCTAAGAATCTTTTCAACTTGGTATATAATACAACCACAATATATATATATATATATATATATATATATATATATATATATATTCGTTGGTCTAAACAAAATTTATAATAAATGCTTGGAACATACGAGTTTATTCATGTTAATTAATTTTATAACACTGAAATTCATTCTCAGATAGTTTACAGCTAAGAATCTTTTCAACTTGTATTTTATTACGATGAATTCAATTAATCTACTATTAATAGTTAACTAACTTTTAATACCAAACGGAAACAATAAATAATTATACAAATGATATGTTATTTTTAACTAATTTGTAACATTCCTATAAAACTTACATTAACATAAACCAAATAAATCTTTTTTTTTTGTTAAAGTAAATCAAATAAATCTTGTTCATCAGTCAACAGATATTTTTAAGAATTTTTTTTCTGTCCATATGGATCGATTGCTTCAATGCGTATATATATATATATATATGTATATATAATATGGGATTGTAGTTTACTCAAAATATTATTGACTTCCATACATATAGTCAGAGATGATTAATGACTTGGCTCATAATCAAGGAGCAATTTATGCACAAACGCATATGCAAATCCGACACTCGGGACATAAATTTAATTTTAACGAACTAATTTCTGGTCTGATCCTCATGGGCCAACATCAATCAACACCATTTTCTCAGGAGATTAAAATAATCATTTGTTCGTCGATCCAAACAGTAATTTAATGAAGGTTTATGTTAATTAATGCATATAATATTTTTCTGTTGAAGAGCCATCGGAATCCGCGGTCAACAAAAGCTGTTTTTAAAATTATTTAAAAAAATCACGTACTCCTGTTTAATTTTACACAAATTTCTGAATACTAAAATCTGTATCGTCTCCATCATATAGCGCTTAGAATTTATTTTTTTGGGTTTTATCGAGGTTTATTTTTTTCAATAAAAAAACCATATATAAAATAAAATATATATATATGTATACACATACATAGAGTGCTTAAACGAAAACAATATACTTGTAAATGCCAAGATTTTCGCGGATGAACACATTTCCTGAGTTTTATCAGAATATCATAAAAATTCAACGTTGATTAGTGGAAATAGACTCTTTTCAAGTGGTTATAAATATGGTTAATTAAAGTATATCACCAATAAAAAAAACGGCAAGATGAACAACATGCCGCAGATTACCGAATTAATAAAATTCGGATCAGAAGTAAGATATAATGCAATCAAATAAAAATAAATATATTTGTCAAAAAAATAAATAAATAAATAAATGTCTTTGTAAGTTTCTTCATGATTAATTATAAATAGCTTCAAACAACAAAGTCGCTTTGGCCGAGTGGTTAAGGCGTGTGCCTGCTAAGTACATGGGGTTTCCCCGCGAGAGTTCGAATCTCTCAGGCGACGTTTACTTTTTTTCTCATTAAGAAAATAACAACCCAATCTGTTTATTTATACGTTGAATATAATTATTTCAATCCGCGTTTTATATTAATAAAAAATTATTATCAACGAGGGTAATGCGAATTTTGGTTTTTAAAATGTACGGGTCAAATGTGATTTGCATTTTATGCACTTGAAATGTAAGATTTATTTAAAAAGGGGACGACGACGAAGTCAAATAATTCCACTCCTCTTGCTATTAATGATTTACCAAAGAAAAAAAGAATAATTAATGATTAGGAAAAAAAATTAATGTTATCTCATTGATGATTGATTCTTCGGTCCATGAATGTTCGTTTGACAGCTTTTTAACGACATTTTCTTTTTGCAGACCACAGATTCAACCAATACATACATATATATATATATATATATATATATATATGTTTATGTTTTGAAACCAACGAGATCTTTAACCATATTCTGGTTCCCAACAGAGGGAAACCGAAGTGAGAGAAAGAAAGCCATGAGGTTCTTCAATTCTCAAAGCCCGTAATCGCCTCCCTGGAAATTCAGTTCACGATTCAAGGACGCTGTTCTGTATTTCCAGTCCGGCAAATTCTCTGAGTGTATCGGTGTTCTGAATCAGCTCAAGCAGATGAAAGAGAACGATCCCAAGATTCTTCACAATATTGCAATTGCGGAGTACTTTAGAGATGGCTGCTCAGTTCCTACGAAGCTGCTGGAAGCCCTTAACCGCGTCAAGAAACAGAGTGATGAGCTTGCTCGTGCAACCAGAGAGCAAGTTGATGCTGCCAACCCTGGAAATAAAACTGTGGGGACTCAAGAGAGTAGCACAAATGGACAAAGTTCTAGCACTTCTTGCAATGATGAATTTGATAATACTGTGACAGTATTCATCTGCATGACTATGGAAAAGCGTTATCAATTTTAGAACATTTGTTTCAGAATATCGAGCCTCTGGATGAGACGATTGCTCTTCAAATCTGTTTTTTGTTGCTCGATGTTGCATTAGCTTGCCGTGACGCTTCAAAGTTTGCGGCTGTGTTAAAACTACATGGAGAAAACTTATGGTGTTGGCTGTGGGAGTCAAGTTGAAAATAGAAACTCTTTACAACCATATCAACTTTTGAAATAATATAGAGTTGCAGAGATAAAGATTAAAAAGAAAGTAGTAATAGGAAGAGGAAGAAGAAGGATTTAGAGAAAGTTCTCTGTTATCTTTACAAAATAAGAAAAAGTGTTCCTTAAATACAATAGAGGAAGAAACCCTAATAAACCCTAACCGAACTAAACCAAAGTAAACCAAACCATTCTAATAATTTCAGATTAAATAAGATCTAAAAGTAACATAAATCAAAATCTATTTTAATATCTAGTCCATTGTTAAATTCCAAACATACTATAAATTTTCCAGTATAACCGTGTATCTTCTTTCCAATGGGTTTGATTAATTCAACCCCATTCTCTCTCCAGAAATTATATATATGTGTATAATGGAGAGATATGATATGAACAATATATATATATATATATCATAATAATCAACACGCGTAAATGTTCCTCGGCGCGTTTGGTACCGAAGAAAACATCTGTCTGAAATCTTCTACTGTCGCATTGTCACTTTTTGTTTCATTTTCCATATCATTCTTTCTTTGAAGCCAAGCAAGAATCACAAGCCCCCAAAAATTCTCCATCTTTATCCTCTTCCCACCAAACTGTTTCATACACCTAATTCTGCCGTTTTTTTTTTCGATTTTCAGTGCAAAAAATGTAATTGGGTTTTGATCCGATCGTCTCCGACAATATTAATCCCTTTGATTCCGAGTGAAAGAATTTTCCTTTTTTCGAGTTCGATCCAGAAATTTCAATTTTCCCAGTTTTGGATACTGTGCGAAGTCACTTGATCCTCTCGTTTGCAGAACCCGTTTCTGAGTTTGACTTGAACCCTATAAATCCCGATCCCTTTTTGTTGGTTCGGTGCATAAAAGTTCGAGTCTTGTGAATCGATCGCTTATCGGTCTGAATCCGAGTGAAAATGGAAACCCTACCGTCTCCTTTCGGAGACCCGGCTCCGAATTTGTCGGATTCGGAGCTCCGTGAAACCGCTTACGAGATCCTCGTCGCCGCTTGCCGGAGCACCGGCAGCCGCCCGCTCACTTACATCTCTCAGTCGGAGAAGTCAATGTGATACCTGGAAGTGTTTATTGGGGTAATTTTATTTACCATTCTTTTTTAATTACAGCAAGAGCTTACCAAGTCATATGAAGCTCACATTAAGCAGTTGCAAAGAGATTTGTCTGCATCTAAAAGTGAAGTGACTAAGGTAGAGTCCAGCATGAGTGAAGCATTAGCAGCGAAAAACTCAGAAATAGAGGCACTTGTCATTGCAATGGATTCCCTAAAAAAACAAGCTGCTTTAACTGAAGGAAACTTGGCTTCACTTCAGGTTTCTAGCCCTCTCATTTCTTTTGGTTGTTTCTCTTTGCTTTGTACCTGTAATATTGTATGGCATGCCTTTAATATCTCCTGTTACCTTGGCTCTGCGGCGGCGGCGACTCTCTCGCCGTCTCCGTCGCTTCACAGATCGCTGACTTCGACGGCGGCGAGTAAGGTGAAGAAGGCGTTGGGGATGAAGTCGAGGAAGAGTGGCGGCGGCGGCGAGTCGTCGGGTCAAGCGGGTCAGACGGGCCGAGTGAAGAAAGCGGTCACGGTGGGTGAGTTGGTTAGGGTTCAGATGCAGGTCTCGGAGCAGACCGACTCAAGGATCCGAAGGGCGCTTCTGAGGATCGCTGCCGGTCAGGTTTGTGTTTTTCTATGAATCTGAAACTGGAAAAAGGTCTTGTTTGTTTGCCTAGAAAACCGAAATCCCTCAACTTTCTCGACCGAGAAAGCGATTCAATGGATAAGAATCCTCTGAAGTCTGATCTATGATCATCTGTTTGAATTTGAGTTGATGTGGTTCCAAATCTTTGTTCCATTTAACCATCCTCCATTGTTTCTGTTATATAGCTTGGGAAGCGAGTGGAGACAATGGTTCTACCACTTGAGCTTTTACAACAGCTCAAGGCCTCGGATTTCTCGGATCAGCAAGAGTACGAGGCGTGGCAGAGGAGAATCTTGAAAGTTCTCGAAGCTGGTGTGCTCTTGAATCCTTATACACCAATAAACAAGGCCGATTCTTCCGGACAACAGCTTAAGCAAGCTATTCGGTCTGCTCTCGAGAAGCCATTGGAGACTGGTAAGAACACAGGACAAATGCAAAACCTGAGGAATCTCGTCATGTCCCTTGCTGTCAGATCACGTGGTGGTGGATCGAGCTCCGATACTTGCCACTGGGCTGACGGGTTTTCTTTCAATCTCAGACTCTATCAAATGCTGTTAGATTCTTGTTTCGATGTTAACGATCAGCTCTCTCTCGTCGAAGAAGTAGACGAGGTTCTTGAACTCGTGAAGAAGACATGGCCTATCTTGGGTATGAACCAAATGCTTCATGATGTTGTCTTTCTCTGGGTTTTGTTTCATCGGTACGTCGTAACCGGACAAGTGGAGAACGATTTGCTCACAGCCGCCAATAACTTGATTCTCGAAGTCGAGAAAGATGCAAAGGAGATGGGGGCAAATGATCAAGAATATTCTAAGGTCTCGAGTTCTGTTCTGAGTTTGGTTCTTGATTGGGCCGAGAAGAAGTTGGTCGCTTACCACGATAATTTTAACATCGATAACGTCGAATCTCTCGAAACAACGGTTTCTTTAGCGATCTCGGCCGCGAAAGTTTTGGTCGAAGATATTCCTAGCGAGTACCGAAGGAAAAAGAAGCAACTCGATGTGGGTTGGGACAGGGTTGATAGTTACATCAGGTCTTCACTTCGTATGGCCTTTTCTCAGGTCCGTCTATATATATATATATGTGATAGACTATATGTTTATATCTCTGTGTCGTTCAAGATATTGTATCAAACTCTTAACTTACGTTTTATTTCCGAAACAGATCAAGAGGATGGTGGAACACAACAAGCGATCAAAAGCTCGGCAGAACAATCTTCCAGCCCTTGCAATTCTTGCAGAAGATGTCGGCCATTTGGCATTCAACGAGAAGGCGCTATTTAGTCCAATCTTGAAGAAATGGCACCCGCTTTCAGCCGGTGTAGCGGCTGCTACCCTTCATTCGTGCTACTCAAACGATTTGAAGAAATTTGTCTCGGGCATAAAAGAGCTGACACCGGATGCAATACGAGTGCTCACGGCTGCTGATAAATTGGAAAAAGATTTGGTTCAAATCGCTGTTCAAGATGCAGTAGACAGTGAAGATGGTGGGAAATCTGTTATAAGAGAGATGCCTCCTTTCGAGGCTGAAACCGTTATTGCCAACCTCGTGAAATCGTGGATCAAGACAAGAGTCGATAGACTAAAGGAATGGATTGATCGAAATCTTCAGCAAGAGGTATTTAACAGTTAAAAAGTTTTCGCCTTTTTCGCTCTTTCGCCTAAACGGAAGCGGGTTTTATGGATTTTTGTGCTTATCTGTTTGGTTCGATTTGGTGATAACCTGCAGGTATGGAATCCGAAATCGAATCGGTTGGGTATTGCCCCTTCTTCAGTAGAGGTTCTAAGGCTGGTAGATGAGACTTTGGAAGCATTCTTTCTCCTGCCTATACCTATGCATCCAGCCTTACTTCCCGAGTTGACATCTGGTCTCGACAAGTGTATTCTACATTACGTATCGAAGGCCAAATCTGGATGCGGTATACGATACATTGCCTTAACTTGATCCGTTAATATTTCTGTGTTTAAAGCAACGATCTCATCATATCGACTCTGGTCAATTTGCTGGTTTTACGGGTTTTCCAGGTTCGAGGAATACGTTTATACCCACTTTGCCTGCTCTGACGAGATGCACGGTCGGGTCAAGATTAAACGGTGTGTTCAGGAAGAAGGAGAAACCAGTAGCTCATCAGAGGAGGAAATCACAGCTTGGCGCATCGAAAGGGGATGATCCCTCGGGAATACTTCAGCTCTGCTGCAGGATCAACACTCTGCAGTATATTCGTGCAGAAGCAGAATCTTCGGGTAAAAAGACAGTAGCCCGTCTCCCGGAATCGGAATCTAGCGCGTTAGATGATGTCTCGGATGGTAAAGGAAAGACCTTTGAACCGTCGATCACATCTTGTTCTAAGGGAATACAGCAACTGTGTGAAGCAACTGCCTACAAGATCGTGTTCCATGATCTGAGCAATGTCCTGTGGGATGGGCTTTACATTGGAGACGCTTCTTCTTCAAGGGCTGAGCCTTTTCTACAGGAGCTCGAACGGTATCTGGAGATAATTTCGACGACGGTTCACAACAGAGTCAGGACGAGAGTCATAACCGACATCATGAGAGCTTCCTTCGAAGGGTTCCTCTTGGTTTTGTTTGCAGGTGGCCCATCTCGAGGCTTTACCCTTCAAGATTCTGCATTTGTAGAAGAGGATTTCAAGTTTCTCTGCGATCTGTTCTGGTCAAACGGAGATGGGTTGCCTCTGGATTTGATCGAGAAGGTATCTGCAATGGTGAAGAGTGTTCTGCCATTGTTAAGCACAGAGACAGAGTCTCTGATCGAACAGTACAAAGCGTTGTGTCTGGAGAATTTCGGTTCAGACAGAGGAAAGCTTCCATTGCCGCCGACTTCTGGTCAGTGGAATCCGACAGAACCCAACACTCTTCTTCGTGTTTTGTGTTACCGTTATGATGAGGCCGCGACCAAGTTTCTCAAGAAGACGTATAACCTGCCGAGGAAGATAACATGAAAAAAAGCCTTGGGGAAGTAGGTGGTGACCATGACCGGAGTTAACCGGAAACTGGTCTTTGCTATTAACCGGTCTTTTTGGTTAAATGCCTAATTAACCCGGACGTGGGTTGGTTCGATTTTGAAAGCCCGGGTGGTGTCGGGATTCATCCGTTTGGCTTTGAAGGCGGTATATTGCACCGGTTAAGCAACGATTGGTTTGGTATCCTCGGTTTTCTTTGGTTTTCCATGGTTATTGATACATGTTCAGGTACAAATTTAACCGTATTCTTTTTGTATATTTATAAACTTGTTTGTGTTTTCATTACCAACAAAAAAAAAACTTGTTTGTGTTTGGGTACAATACAAACATGTCTGAATAATTGGTGTGATTTTTTTTTCATCTGCGACTGATTCAAAGAAACCTGCTAAGCCCATTGTACACTCAGAGGCCCATTAAGCGCATTATATAAAATATGGGCCTGAACATATAGAACATGGGCCAGATTCTACAAGCCCAATAGGCTCATAATATATAATGTGGGCCTGATTCTAAAACCGCTCACGGTAAGCGGAGTCGAGGGTCTCGTCGATCGCCTCGAGACTTGTCGGAATCGCTTCAGTTTTGTGGTCCGTTTATCGGATGATCTGTTCGATTTCTTGCGGTTGCTTGGGGGATTTATGCGGTCAGGGTTAGGGTTTCCTCGTACGCGCACTTCGGGCCATCAGGTTTGAGTTTCTTGGTCTATTATACGAAAGCTTCATCTATCTTTTCCCTGTTTGGGATCCAATTTCGTGGAGTTTTGAAGCTGGGGGATTCCAGCTTCAAAACTCCAACTCACGGTCCTTTTCCAGTGGATAGGTGGTTGCTTTGATCTACTTGGGGATACATGTGATCCATGTTTCCCTGGGTATATGATCGTTTCGAAATTGAAAAATCTGGATTTAAATCGAATATAAAAACAATCAAAAACACTAAAACATGTAGAAAATTAATGTTTTCGTCAATAAAAATGGAATCTATTATATAAGAGGTTTTGAACCAAAAAATCTAAATTCCGAACCAAAATCTAAAATGCTCGGCTTTAGACAATATCATATAAATTATCGCGTGTTCGGATATATAGATAATAATCTTATCGAAACTAATGATTCTTTGTATCAATTATCATAATGTATTACATCTTCATAGCACATAAAATCACTTCGTTTTTAATGTTGTTGTAAAGCACAAGACCATCATGTTTCAACTTCTCGTCAGTACGGACGCTGACCCACATAGTTTCCCGGAGGGTCATAGCTACAAATCACAAAAACATAACCATCCTCGCACTGGACCGAGCCACAACCGAGCCGGACCGAGTCACGCCACACTATCTGAGTGTAATGGCCGCACACATCGTCCCCTACGCACGAGTTAGTGGCATAATCGTAATTATCTTTCTCCGTCAACCAATAAGCCGTCGCGTCAGGACCGCTCATGCGACCGTAACCAGCGGCTAGGTTCTCGCCGTACGGTCCGGAGGAATGTTGCATGGCGCAATCTTTGGCCCTCTGGTTCGCATAGTCTTGGGCATAGGCTGCCAGCGTGGCATTCCACGTCATCGGTCCGACACCAACCTCGGCCCGTGCCTTGTTGTGAGAAGCGATCGTGTTTTGCTGTTGGAGGTCAACGTCTTTTGCGTTAGGGTTTGGTACATGACGATAGGCATGGCATATTATTACGAAAGACAGCAATGTGAATACGGCTAAGTTACGAGAAAAAAACATTTTTTTTTTGTTTGGCGGGGGATTTAAGTGAAGAGTGTTATTGTTCGGATGTTGTATTTATAGACTTAGATTTCATGGATTTGTAAAAAAAATATGGACAAACATTAAAGATACTAGATTTTATACATACTATTATTTGTCCATTTATTGACTTCTTACCAAAACGATGACTAATAGATAATTATTTAGTTAATATAATTAGAAAAAAAATCACAATTTTTGAAAACAATTATTAAAAATTATTGAAGAGTTAAAACATTAATGATTCACAAATTCAAGTAGATTTTTTTTAAATCTAAAAAATATAATTTTTACTATTTATATATTTTCCACTCAATATTAAATATATTTGAAATGATAATTTAATAATAAAAATACATTTTTAAAATTAGTATTGAAATGATGATAAATATAATAGTCTGATACTTTTATAAAAATTGAGATTTATTTAGATTTGTTTGTAGATAAATTCTTTATTGATAATTATGTTATAGATATATTTAGAAAACTAATATGTTTCAAATATCAACTATAAATTATTAATAGTAATTTAAAATCTCAATTATATGTCTAAAATGAATGTAACCGAGATAAGGATATTGAGATGGTTGTGCGGACAAATTAGGATGGATAGAATTACAAATGAGATTATTAGAGAGAAAATATGAGTAATGGTTATAGAAGAGAAGTTACAAGAGTGATATTTAAGATGGTTTGAATATGTACAACGTAGGCCAATATGCACCGATTAGAAGAATGAGAAGTATAGGAAAGAAAGTAAAAATAAAAAGAAAGGGTAGACATAGGCTTACTTGGAAACATGCCATTAGAAATGATTTGGAATTGTTGCAAATTTCAAGAGAACTAATTCAAAAACGAAACTAGTGGAAACGAATAATTCATATGGGTGACCCAAATAAATTTGGAATTAAGGCGATGATGATGTTGATGTTGATATATATATATGGATAATCATATATAATTTTGTAATATTATTATCTATTTAAGATGCTGTATATTTTAAAATAATAAAATAATAAAAAATTTAAATATTTTATAATTTTTAGGTTTTATTTTTAATTGTGGTTGGTTGATGTTTTAAATCACTTTTTTTTTTTCAGTTCAAGGGTTTTTGCAAAAGTTTTAAAAATATTTTTATAAAAAAAATTAAGGGTTTTTATTGATGTTTCTATTTGGATTAGTAGATAACTAATTTTCAATTTTTTTAACTTGAATTTTTATTGGACTTTCTCCTATAGTTAATTTGCCTTAAAATGTTCCCGTTTTAGATTTGTTGTTGTTGATGAATTTGAGTGAAAAGAAATAGAAAATAATGCATGAAATTTATTCAGAAAATAACAAATTGCCGTGTAGGTGTAATTAACAATGGCAAACCAAGAGAAATCAAAGGAAGACCACATGTTTAATAGTCCAGAAATCAAGGGTCTATTTATCAATACATAAAATTCCATCATAACAAAATTTCCTTTCACCACCTCTTGAATTTGTATATATATATTCAATATTTATTTATTTATATTTTATATGTTATCATGAAGGCACATAACACAAGAATAGTAATTTTAGGACCATCATACATAAATATTATCAACATTTTTATAAGTTAAAAGGTATATTAATTAATTAATTACCCCAATCTAGATTTCCTTTCTCAATATATTTCATACAACGAATTTACCGAACTCTAGAATATATAGCCTTTCCGAGCGGTTAATGGGAAAACGAGTTTCTCTTTCAAATTTTATATATGTATTGAATATTGAAATAAAGATTTGAATTCATGGTATAGGATATGTTGACAAAGAGGGGTTAGTCCCTTCCGTGTAAAGCATGAATACTGCTTGTTTATTGCAAAGTCACGTGTCCCCTTTACTCGCACCATATGTCTAGTTTTAATTGATAATTAGGGGAAACATATATATCATATATGTGTATATATATGTGTATGTATATGTATCAATGTATGTACAACACGTTATATCTCTAACGGTTTAAAATATTCTAATTGTTAATTCACGTGAACTAATTTCGACGCCCGTGATTTCTTTTATATATATATATATATGCGCTATAATGGCGTCGCCTTCAGTAATCAGCATCACGACTAACTAATGCGTAATTGCATGATGTGTGTGTGTATGTATATTATATATATATATATATATGTTCGTCTTTGTTTTATGATTCATGATAAGTAAATGTTTTATTATTTTTTTAAAATTTAAACGTTAAATTAATTGGATTTCGTGAAAGTGGTGACTGCTTAGAGAAGATCACGGAGACAATTGAGACGCCATCTTCGGATGATTTTGTGGTAATTTCCAATTCTTCCACCGTTTGACCCTCCACCATTTTTCTTTTTCCTTTTTTTTATTCAAGAATGGTAAAAAGTAAATTTATGAAATACATGGAAAATAGTAAAAAAAAAAAAACGGGGATTTTTTTTAATTCCAACTAACAAATAATGCATATATACATATACATACCTCAACCACACCCCGTTTCATTTTCTTCAATAGTTTACGATGTTCTTGTACATAATTCATATCTTCGTTTTATTAGTGTTAAATATAATATTCTAAATCCAATAATAATAAAATAACACTTATTAATAAGCATCAAAGTGAAAACTAATCCAAGGGATTTGAGAGTTCATAAGATATAAAATCATTAAATCCGTGGTCAGGCTCGTGATTAGTGAGCCTCCAAAATTTGCAATTAGCCCGCAAAAACCTACATGTTTTTAAGAATCATATTTCTTTTGTCCGAAAATTATTTGAATCTTTCCAAGCCCAAATCCGTACAAATTTGGTGGGCTAGCCCTAACAATTTCGGCCTAAATTCAAACCTTAAACTTAAATCTACAACTTAGGATTTGTAATTGAGAGTTTATAATTGTTTTACGGTGTGGGGTATAAGGTTTAAAATAGGTTTAGGGTTTAATGTGTAGTGTGAAGAAGAATCAAATGAGAAGAGTGAAAAAATAAGATTTAAAAAACTTACCAGATGACATAATAATATTTGTATGGAATTTGTAGGCTAAAATTACCCCAAGGATATCATTATTATCTACCACTACACAGAAAGTGGGGAGATAATTACCAAAACACTCTCCTTTGAAAAGGGCACACGTGTCAATAAAAAGGATGGATATAGGGGTATCCATTTAGGTCTCACCAGTTCGAAAATTAGCGGGTTCAGTCTTAAGTTTCCTGATAAAAAAAAATTGGGGTTTCGGACGGACTCGAATTGGGTTTTGAATTCGAGTCGGATTGGTCCGAAAGCCAGATATTTAAAAAAAAAGAAAAAAATAAGATTTACAAGGGGATTTATATAGACCTATCCGAACCCGGAATATATAGGACCAGACTTCGGACTAAATTTCATAGGTCCAAAAAAATCGAGTCAATCTGAGTCCAAAACCTTCAGACCAAATGCAGACTCGGGTTGAGTCGAACCAAGTCGGCTCGATTGACACTCCTAAATCAGATCGACCCAATGTGAAACCCAAAACACCTTCCTGATTTTTTTCACACCAAAAAATTTAATCCCCAAATTCAATCTTTTTGAGTGGATTTAAACTTAATTTCGAATTTCGAACCTAAATTGACGCCCTAATTTATGATATCATAGTTTGTATAATAAGATAATTCAACAAAGAAAAACAGTTTTAAGTCAAATAATTATATGTTCGTTTAGATTCAATTTTTTTTTTCACTATTTAACTCTAGTATTAGAATGGACAAGAATAATCTTATTTTGAGCATTTTTGTAGCCATTTAAAGGAATATAATACGGATCTTTTTACAAAAAAAAAAGAAAAGAAAAGAAGAATAATCTTAAGTTTTCAATATTTTAAGTTCAAAAATGTCATATAGTAAATAGACATAATTTGTTATTGCGAAAATTATGATTTCACGGACCATGAAATAATAATATCAAATGTGTTTTCCATATTTAGTCTGTCTAACCATATCTATTAATTGAGGCAAATACACGTAGTCATATGTGGGGTTTCTCATTTATATGACTTTAATTTCTCCATAGATTATATATATATCCGTTGGACCATATCTTTAGTCGTTTTCCTTGTACCAAAGTTTTTGCAACCCCTCAAAATAATTCCACTTTGATAATAAATACGTTTTTGGAATAAAAATTACTTAGCATTTAAGTTTGTTTTCCACCAAATATTTCGTCTATCGAAAAATAAGATTATATTTGGCTAGGATGGACACATATCGGATATACGGAATTTTTTAGATATCAGATCCGTATCCATATCCGTTCCGGAAAAATATTCGATTTCGTTATCTATATCTGATTCGTAATTTTCAGATATCCGCAATTTTGGATATTCGCAAAAATAACGGATATTTATATCCGACCTAAAACATTATAAAAATTTGAATTAAAATTAAATAACAAACACAAATACAACTAAAATGTATCATCTACTTAATATAAATGATATTGGCGATTTAATATTCATAATTTAATTATTCCAAATCAACTCAGATACAAACACATTCATAATCTATCACATATAAATATATTCTATATTTAAAAGATTAAGCATCCTAAACCACGATATATATATATATAAAACATTTTTTTAAATCTCCCTAGAAAATATATATAAATATTAAACATTTTAAATCTTCATAACAAGTTATTTTTATATTTAATAATATTATTATAAAATAATGATTGGATCGAATATATCGGATAATTCGATTTTGATATTTGTATCCGATCTGTATCCGTAAACTCTTGATATCTAAATTTTTGGTTCGAATACGAATCAAATAACGAATCGATTCGGTTTTTTCATACATTTTACTCACCCCTTTGTCTGGCTATAAAAAGAGAACATTATTGACCCGCACGCATGGTCGATTAGGAATGAATTCTACTTATTGAAACTTTAATTGGATAGCATATAACATAATTTCCCAAAAATAAATAAATAAACATATAAGACAAGACTACACCCATATATATATATCATAATTTCCCACTAGAGGAACATAGTATAGTGGATCCTAAAATTTTATCCATAACACCCAACCAGAACAAGAAAAGATTAATATATAAATTAGAAGAAAAAATATATTATGCATATAATATGGCAAAATAAAAACTCTATTATTTCCTTTAAAATTGTAGGCCACATAAACAAAGGGATATTCCCACCAAATAAAAAGGGGGTAAAAAATGAACTCGCCCCTTTAAATAATAGAAAATTAAAATTTCTTATCTAGAAATTTTCATTTAATCAAAATATTAATGTTTTAGTCCTTGTAACATATAACTGATATAATTGTTTTATTATTATACATCGATATTAAAAGGTGAAACAACTCTAACATATAAGTTTATCGGGATAATTGGTGACGATCCAAATGATTGTAATTAATTTCTTTCAGAAGAATTATATATTTCGATCATGATACAACTTCATCCTCAATACATAATTAAAACGTCATTTGATAATTGAAATCATATATAAACACACACACACACATATACTCAAACTCTCAGGGGCATATATACTCACACATACAGCCATATATATATATATAGACATATATGTATGTATGTATATATGTGTAAAGAAATGTAATAACTTTTGGTGAATGAAGACAGACAGGTGGCTTGTGTTGGGTGAGGTGAAGAAGGGCTGAGATGCCTTCACTTGTAAGGTCTGAGGCTTATGGCCCATCATCCCCCAAAAGCTGCTTTTCGCATTTAATTATTATTTGTAAAATTGTTTAAATAATACAAAACTGTATAATCAAATTATTTATCCAATAAGAGAAAAAAAAAACAAGATATATATATATATATAACTGCATGTCTTCTACGAATATATAGATGCTGGAATTCGTTTCTCTTTGGATTATTGTTTGATAAAAATATAACGAAATCATGAGCTGCTAACATTTCATTCATATATTATCGACAGCTTTTGCCAAAACAACGTACATAAACAATGTATTTTGAATTATAATTGTATATATATATAGGGCATGTGTGTATATATAGTAGACAAAATTATATATGTTATAAATAAAATATATTTATGATGGAACATACCATTACTGTTCACACCGATCGTATACGTGAACAGTAATTTCGGGATTTCTATAAATAGATCATTTGGATTCTTCCATTTGCACACTTTCAAAGAGAGAGAATAATAAAAAATACATTCTTCCCCATTATCCTAAAATACAGTTTTCGATTATAATTAACGATCTAATATCCGGAGCATCTTTATTCTTTCGGTTTGATAACAATATATAATTTTGTGTCCCCGTTATACGATAGCCGGCATGTAGAAAAGCTCTCCAAACTTTCTTTAGATATCTTGGACCCGTCTTATCTCTTTGCCATGGTTTATATATATATATATGTATGTGGGTAAATCAGAAAATTTATAAATATCATTATCCATCTTTAATCTTTTTATTCTTTTTATCATTTTGACAAGTAAAAATATGTGCGTAAATGCAGTTAGAATTTTGGAAACGTTCTCAAACTTCGAATATTGAGGATTCTTGAACATATATTATACAACTTCCTTTTATTACTTTAACCAAAAAATCTTCCTTTTATTACGTAAACATGGAAATTTCTAAGGGCGAGCATTTCGGTTCGGTTCTAAACTGAAAAATATAGTTTTTTTTATCTGAACCGTTCAAAATTTCCAAACTATATTAAGTTTAAAAAACCGAATTTTTTTGAAACTTTACCGAACTGAATTTTAAAAAAAAAAAATCCTAAAAACCGATTTTTTTAAAAAAAATCTAATTTTTTTAATAAAATCCGAAACCGAACTAAACTGAATATAATATAATATAATAACCGATTGATATCAATTTTTGTAAAATCGAAAGAATCGACTAGAACCCGAACACGGAAATGTCCACCCCTACAAATTTATATATGTGCGTGGTCAGCATTGATCCTCACTAAATGCATATAAATGATAAGATGTCCATGGCCATGCATGTCTACAACGGTCTCTTTTGTTAACTAAATGTAAGGGAAAAAAAGTATAAAATATCTTTGTATTTTATCTTTTTGTGAAATTCGATGGGTACGTGGAGGAAATTAGAAAAGCGGTGTCGTTTTCACCAACAATAGGTACTTTAATTGGGGACTACATGGCGTTTCTAACGCACTTCTCCCGTCGTTTTCGTGCAGAGAAAAAGAGACTTTAAATTATTATTATTTTTTTAACGGCGGAACCCAACGACAGCCCTTCGGGCGCGGTGATAAATCCTACGGTTCTACGTAATAGCCTGCAAACCACGTGAAACAGGTAAACCATTTAAAAGGTGACAGGTTTGCTGGAGAGTGGAATCGAACCCATGACCTCTTGGAGAATCATGGGCCTTTAACCACTGCACCAGACTCCGAAGGACGAGACTTTAAAATTTTCGAATTAAATGATTGATATAACTAACTTATCGTTAATCACCACTTTAAATATAATTTTTTTATAATTCAAAAATTTACCGAATCTTTGACCAAACTATATCTCTTAAAAGACCGAAAAAATTCAGATAAATATCTATTCCCAAATGAAAACTTGAACATGAATTCGAAAATATCTTTTTTTTTTATAATCAGGATAGTTCTTCGAGCCTTCGACCCGACTACATCCACCCTAGACCCGGAACCAACCTTTGTATATGAACCATTTTGGTCCAAAAATACATCCCTCCCCACCAGTGGAATCGAAAAGATTTTTCTCCGTTCTTTTCCAGTTCAACCACTTAATCTTGAGTTTTAAATATGATCTTTATCTAGATTAGTATCACTAAATTCATTTATCCCTATAGTATTAAAGTTATTTTTAATTAATTATTTAAAACAGTTATCTAAACCTAATGCAATTTTTTATTATTACCGAAAAACTAAGCTAATTGTTTCTTTTTTATCTTATTAATTATAACGTATTGATAATAAATTTTTATATATCTACCCTCTCTCTCTCTCTCTCTCTCTCTCTCTGTATATAGAGCTCATTAGATTATTTTTATGTGGTAATCATTCCGACTTTCCTTTTTGCATGAATTTTGTGTGTGTGTGTTTTCATGGGTTATACAAATTTTGGATATTTAATCAACTTATGCCAAGTTTGGATCTACGATTTCGCATAAATTAATACGATTCTGCAACAATCGAAAGCCTTAGAATGAATAATGGTTGGTTGGTTGGTTAACTCCAATCAATATGATAAAAGGGTTTTTAGCTTAATACGAAGGGAATGCCACAAACTAAGATTATTAAATATACGGCCGATCATTAAACATGCCTTATAGTACATGGTACACACACACATATGTGTGTTGCACATAAATTTGAAAGAGTTAGTTGCAGCTTGTGGTTGTGATTCTGTCGGGGGAATACATTATAATGGTATATGTTAATGTCGTGGGTCCACTCCGAACTAGTAATGTCGATTCGGTTCGGCCCACATCGGTCCGAATCATTTTGTTTTCGGCTCAATTCGTTCGGCTCGTTGTTTTTAATGATGTAGTAAACTCTGACTCGATCCAATTGCTTTAGTCTACGAGTAGATTCGTGAACCAAATAAAAATAATAAATATTTATAAATAATAAATATAACAAAAAATATTTTTAAATTATTTAAAAATAATAATAAATATATTTAAAATTGATATATCTTTTCTTAAACTATTAAAAATTTAAAAAAATATATTTTTTTGCTTGTAAGTCAGCTCTGAATTCGTCGAACTGACTCGCAATGAACTGGTTCATTCGATTTGTTTTTTTTTAGCTCGAATTTTTTGAACCCAAATTGAAAAATATAGAATGGTTCACCAGCTCATAACTTCTTATAAGATAAGGTAAACTTTATAATGTAAAACCACAAAAATAAAAAAAACGTAATTTTTTATTTAGTTTTTGGGTCGCCTTAGTGGCCACGGCAATGGTCTAATTTTGCCATCAACTTTTAGGACATGATTTATAATTATATAATAATAATAATAAAAAAATATTATTTGATCAAAATTTAAGTTTGGAGTACATATACATAATCACCAGAGGGACAGTCCTGTAATTATACCCCCTGCAATTAACGTTGCGTTCGAATGTTGTCACACATTTAATTCCTATACATATCAGCTAACCACCAAAAGATATTGCATAATATTCTCACACCCAATTTATATCACTTTCAACACATCCAAGCACTCTGTATCATAAATCTTCGAACTATTTATAGGATTAATAGAAAAAAAGTTTAGCATAAGATAATAGTAACTATATAATTGTGGTTGAATCAAACATATTTTTATATCTTGTATACTACTCCCAAAATATTTGAGATTATTTAAAATATATATATCAAATTAATAACGAAATTGACCCAATTCGAAAATTCATTTAATTGTGGTATATGGACTGTGTTTCCGGTATCTGCAGTTTCGAGAGATGTAATTGAAAATAAGATATGGTGAATTTTCGAATTTAAAAAAAAATTAATTACGGGATTGGTAAAAATATTTCTTACTTAATGCTCTATGTGCAAATGATTGTTTGTTTTCTTAATTTATACTCTTTGTAACGATATATATATATATATATATGCATATTTGTATATATATATATATATATATATATATATATATTCACTTCTTAAAAAGACTATAATTGACCATCTAGTTTGCTTGCTGCAGAGTTAAAGTAAAGCCCTTCATCTTCATCATATGATTTATGGATTAGTAGTACACACATGTACCATGTAGGAACATTAAATTCGTCGAATCGGAATTTTGGATTCCGAAAAAATAAAATTTAAACCATATAAAGCGTACTTCATTATTGGTGTGCGTCCCTTTTTTTTTTTTTTTTTTTTATAATGAGACCGACTTTTCCTAAAGTTGTGGTTTTATGCAACTTCCATTTAAAAAAAAATAGAAAATCCATCATTCCTTCGCACTAAAATTTTAATTCTATTTTATTAAATTAATTTCTCGCCCTTTAAATACCTCTCTCCTTCTCCCCCATTGACAAACTAACAACGCTACGGGAAAGAGAAGGGAAAAAAATCTATCCGCGAAAATAGAAAAAAAAAATTTCTAACCCTCTGAGGCAATCCGAGGCTTCGACATGGAAATGGAACGACAAAACGCTCAAGCAGCAGCGAAGAGGCTATGGAAAGTGGTACGGATCGTTTACTACATGGTAAAGACGTGCATGTCCAAAAGCAAGCTCATGCAGCTTGACCTAAACCTAATCCTCAAGAGAGGCAACAAAGCCGTCACCAGCCTCCACCACCGCCGCCGCCGCCGCCACCGTGGCGGCCCCGCCGACGTCATGGCCTCCGTCAGCTGCCGCTCCGACGCTGACGTCATCTCCTCCGCACTCGTCCTCCGCGAGTACGAGTTCAGCTGCAGCAACAGCCCCGCGAACCCTTTTGCCCCCTTTTCCAAACGCAAACGCTACCGCGGAGGTTACGACGAAAAAGCCGCGGCTGCGATTGCGGTTCAGAGGGTTTTCCAGTTGTTGGAAGATGGTAATGATAACGGCGATGATGAGCCGTTCACGGTGGCCGGAGATTCACCTCTGGTGGTTTTTCCGGCGGTGAGAGTGACAGATTCTCCTTTTCCGGTGAAGGACGAAGGAGGAGACGATAACTTGGTGGACAAGGCAGCCGAGGAGTTTATCAAGAGGTTTTACAAGAACCTCAAGTTGCAGAAGAATATGGCGACAGGTTTTGTATAGAAACCGTTTGTATTGGTCCCTCCTCGACGGAAGAGTGGGGGCGTTGGATTACAATTAAGAAAAAGTGGGTCAAATTGAAAATACATGTAAAATACGGGGTGTAGAAAGTTAATTTCAACTTTTCCTGGAGAGTAGAGTACTACACCAATGTTACTTTTACAGTTGTAAACTAGATATGTGGCATGTGTATATTATTTTCGCTTCACGAAGAAACTACCGACCATGTATACGTATCATAATATTTCATTTCTGCTTTTGGCTAGGTATTCCTCTTTTATATGATATGATAATATTATAAATCTGATTTTCAATAATTAATCAAAATACAAAGAATCATCATAATTTGCATAGAAAAGTATATTCTAAATAAAAAATTAGACCTAGTTATTATATCAGTTCGATATATTTTTTATATATCAAAACAACTAGTATGTTAACCTAAAACGGTGAAATCCACGCATATACACCCATCATATTTGTTATAATTATAAATTACGGTAATTAATAATACATGTTATTAAGCTAATTGGGCTGAACATAAACCCATGTTGGCCCACCCGTCTCCTGTCCCGGAATGGCCTACCACAGGATGTCGTTCGAGACTCTCGCACCGAGAATGTCCGCCGTTTCTTTTCACTAAAAACGCTTCGCAGTTGTTTCGAAGAATGTTAGGCGGAGTGTAGTTATCCTATTTCGACGGCTCCGATCTTCGAGACCAGCGTAACTCCATTGGTCGTGGCACCACTTGAACAACGATCTGAATCCATCTTCTCACTGAATCGACCTGGAAACTCGATTCCAGTTTTTTTTTCTCTCTCGCTTGCTTCAGATCTTTTTTTTTTGTTCAGCGGAATTTTGTTGCCGAAATCGGCTTGAGATTCGTAACCTCTGAAGCTGCTGCTGTTTCGAATCCGATCAACGACGTTCCCTGATCCGACTCGCCGGTGCATGGAAGTTCCTCCGTCGATTTGATCCGCCGAGGATTGCGCAGAAAGTTCCTCGAGTTTGATCATTAATGGCGTCTTGGCTCAAAGCTGCTGAAGGTATGTGGTCGTTTTCGGTATTCACTTTTGAAGATTCGATTGTCGCGCGAAGTTTTCGTTTCGGTTGCTCTCTTCCCCGTGTCTTACATTGGGTCGCCAAGGATGCATGAATCGCATTTGTCCTGTGATACGCATAGAGTACTTGAACATGAAAATGTCTCTCTTTCGGTTCAAATCTATTGCAAGAATTTTGATATTTTGTCACTGCGGTTTCGGGTCAGATTTGTTTGAGGTTGTGGATCGAAGGGCAAAGTTAGTGGTTGGAGAGCTGTCAGAAGAACAATCTGAATCGCAGTTGCCAGGTACTGATGCTGTTTCATGCCAGCAATGCGTGAAATAGAATTACTATCGAGATTTTCTCCGGTTCTCGAGCTATCATATCTAGGGGGAAAAATGCTATCTTTGGTTCGTGTGATATGCAAAACATAACTATAATGTCAATTAGTTGACTTGTCAAACACCATTTATGCATTTTCTGTTCCGGTTCCTCTTTTCCAAGTAGATTTACCATTTTGGTTTAGTTTGTAATTGATTGAGCCATTGAGGAACTCCCGTTTTAGGTAATACCTGAAACTGAGACGTTGGATAGCAACATCATGCTTTTCTTTTACCTGAAACCCGTTGCTGTGATCGTTGTAATTTTTCCTGTGAGAATGTATCTGATGATACTGAACTGGAAAATACGAAGCATGTGTTCAATCTTTAAGAAACACTGTCTTTTGCCTGGAGTTAGCCTTAGAGAAGTTTTGACTTGCATACTTGTTTGTCCTCTTTTTAGCGATACCTTTCTCCTTGATTATTTTGTCTTTTGTCTTTGTATTGCTTAAGCTTCCAGTGGGAAAGGATCTCAAGGAAAGAGATCAAGGTCAAAGACAAAGGTATTACCCATGGACTTGTAGCCTGGAACATTTTGTTCTCTATGTTGAGTGAGTGAACTCTCCCAATGAACTTGTTTAGTTGCGGACCATAATTGCAGGGTCGACAGAAGCTTTTGACAGATAAGTCTTCTAAAACAAGTGATTCTGCTGGTAATGCATCTGTCTCAGAGGTATCAGGGTTAGATGCAAATCCATCTGAAGTTTCTGTATCCACTGAAGGACCCTCTTCATCCGATTCTGTCTCTAAGACAACAAGACAGCATAAACAGACTGATGCGGATGTTCACAGCATTCCTCCGCTGGCAGAATCAGTGGCAGATATAAAAAGTGATGCTGATGCTACAATTGCTCCACTGACCGTTGCGGATGGGAATGCTACTGAGGATGCTACTTCATCAACATCAAATGTCAAATTTGTTGATGGAGATGTTCCAAATGATTCCTTGTCCTATCAGCCACCAACTCCACTGGATAGAGAAATCGAGGTTGCTGGAGATGAGCATTTAGGTGATACTCCCCAGTGTAGCAAACCAGGAGAGATAGATGGTTCTTCAAAAAGTGATGTGGAGACATCGAAACCTGCATTGCATGTTTCTCCTTTAGATGATGAGAAGGTGGTTCAAAGTAAAGATGCTGAAGATAAATCTGATACCTCCAAAAACCTGGAGAAAGAGCACAAACAGAAAACCAATACTTCCCCCATGAAAATTCAAGATCAGCTTGAAGAGGTTAGTTATACTGAGAAAGTGAAAGAAGTAGCATATTGCATCTCTATTACTGGATTTGCCTCATCTGTACGTTTGTTTGTGGATCTTTTTCCTAATTTCCAGGCTCAAGGGTTGCTGAAGACTGCGGTTTCTACTGGGCAGTCAAAAGAAGCCAGGTTAGCAAGGGTAAGCTCAACTATGTTTTGCCACTTTCATGTAAAGTCAAGAATATGGATTGTCAGCTTCAAATTGGTTTTTCATCTGTTGGATAAGATCATCTATGCCACATTGGGTGGACTTGATTAGTTCCGTGACTGTTTGCTAATATGTCTTAATGGATGAAGGTTTGTGCTGGACTTTCATCCCGTCTCCAAGAATATAAAGCAGAAAATGCACAGTTGGAAGAGCTTCTCACTGCAGAGGTAAAGTTCATCAGGTTGGGTTCTGGTGGTGACCCAGATAGTATAAAGTAAATGTGATACCTGGAAGTGTTTATTGGGGTAATTTTATTTACCATTCTTTTTTAATTACAGCAAGAGCTTACCAAGTCATATGAAGCTCACATTAAGCAGTTGCAAAGAGATTTGTCTGCATCTAAAAGTGAAGTGACTAAGGTAGAGTCCAGCATGAGTGAAGCATTAGCAGCGAAAAACTCAGAAATAGAGGCACTTGTCATTGCAATGGATTCCCTAAAAAAACAAGCTGCTTTAACTGAAGGAAACTTGGCTTCACTTCAGGTTTCTAGCCCTCTCATTTCTTTTGGTTGTTTCTCTTTGCTTTGTACCTGTAATATTGTATGGCATGCCTTTAATATCTCCTGTTACCTTCACTGCATGGTCGTCACTTGCCTTTTACTTGACCAACATTCTGTTAAAACGTTTACTTTTATCAGGAAGACATGGATTCTATCATGAGAAACAGGGAATTGACGGAGACAAGGATGATGCAGGTAGTACTACTTGGGCTGTGTGTTTGTGTTAGATCCATAATATTCTCAGATCATTTGGACTTTACTTGTTTCTCCCAGGCATTGCGTGAGGAGCTTTCTACTGCTGAAAGGAGAGCAGAAGAGGAGCGAGCTGCACATAACGCCACCAAGAAGGTTGGTTGCCCAAACAAATACGTGCTAAGTCACACACAACTCGTGGAAAATTGTTTGCAATGGTAAATTATATTCACTTCTTATTTTACACCATCCGCTCTTTCTTTCCAAGACAGGCTGCCATGGAAAGGGAAGTGGAACTGGAACACAGGGCTTTGGAAGCATCTACAGCTCTTGCTAGAATCCAGGTGAAATGAGCATCTTCTTAGATGTCAGCATTATTATCGCTTATTTGCATGTTAAATAGGACACTGAAGTTAATATGCTGTTTGACTTTCAAATTGCTTAAGATAGAGATAGGATTCTTCTCAAAATTCTGTTCCTCAATAATTCATTTAAGTTGACTTTCAAATTGCTTGAATTTTAGAGAATTGCAGATGAGAGGACATCGAAGGTGGCAGAACTTGAGCAGAAGGTTGCATTGCTTGAGGTATGGATGAACTTTTGACCTATCTTATATGTAATTTGTTGTTCACCACATAATTTTTGGTGTTCCTTAGAATGATTGGTAAGCAATATGCAGGTTGAGTGTTCATCTTTGAATCAAGAGCTGCAAGATATGGAAGCTCGCACCCGTCGAGGACAAAAAAAATCTCCAGAAGAAGCAAATCAAGTGATACAGGTACGTTATGGTTGTACTGCTCACGATTTTGGAGCAAAGACACTGCAAATCTTAGTTTGTTATCCTTTCCATTACTGTAAAAGTAGGAACTGTGACTAATAACCTACTAATTTCTCATGTCATTAAAAAAAGGAAGCTTGAAGTATGGATTTATATGGATGATCTCTCAGTAACACTGGAGGTTATCATCTGTCAGAGTCTTTCTGATTTGATTGTCTTTTGGCTTTCTATGGATGTGATTTCTCGTATGGAATTCTGACTTGTCCAATTCAGCTATAGAAGTGACAAGTATATTAAATCACTGGAAGCAACTTTTAATTAATTCTTTAAAAGTTCAGATTGTGGTACTCTAGCAAGTTAAAACTTTTTTCAAATCATGAAGGTGCAGGCATGGCAGGAAGAAGTAGAGCGTGCCCGGCAAGGTCAAAGAGATGCCGAGGAGAAGCTTTCTTCAATGGAGGTATGTTTGCGTATATCTGCTACATTGGCACAGCTCTGTAAGCGCATTGCTTTCTCTTTATTATCATTTTTCTCGCATTATCGCATTCTTTATTACAGGCTGAAATGCAAAAGTTGAGGGTCGAAATGGCAGCCATGAAGAGGGATGCAGAACACTACTCACGTCAGGTGAATTTATAGTTTTTGTTTGTTTGTCTTTTTTTTTCCCATGCTCATGGATGATTCTTGGTACTTGTATGGGGATCAGCAGATCTGCTATCCTCTTGCTGTCGCGGTGTTAAGATTTCTTTGAAAGTCATAGATTATTAGTCTGATATCTCTTTTCAACGCTTTGTACGCAAGACCTGCTGTGCTTATTGCAGTAAGCCATTTCTATTGGGAGTTCAGAAGCAAAAAAGCCCTAACCCATAAACCGGAAATTCATATAACAGATCTGGGTTTTGTGGGGGACCTGTTATCCACTTGTTATCGGTTTTGCCTGAAAATGGATAACTCGTACTCATCGGAAGTTGATCAAATTCTTGATTTTGTATCGGTTCATGTAGTGTTAACATTTTGTGTATATGCTTATGTCAACGTCAGCTTAACGTTTTTACGCTTGGCCTGGTAGGAGCATATAGAGCTGGAGAAACGCTACCGTGAACTGACTGATCTACTGGTAATATATAAGATCAAGAATGTAGTAAATGATTCACAGTATAGAGGCATTTTGAGAAGTTTTATGATGGCTTTGCTATGATTGTGATGCAGTATTACAAGCAAACACAACTAGAGACTATAACGAGCGAGAAGGCTGCAGCTGAGTTCCAGTTGGAGAAGGAGATGAAGCGCCAACAAGAAGCACAGGTCTGTCCCGCAAAAAAAAAAATGCTGCTTGATGAGAAGCCTTGGCGCACCGGTTAAGGTGTTGCCGTTGTGACCTTGAGGTCACGGGTTCGAGTCCTGGAAGCAGCCTCTTGCAGATATTTCTGCAAGATAAGGTTTGCCTACAATACACCCTTATGGTGGGACCCTTCCCCGGACCCCCGCTCAACGGGGATGCTTTGTGCACCGGACTGCCCTTTGACGAGGAATAGCCGAAATTGCTTATATATGATCATTTGTTATTTCCACTTGTTACCTGAAAAAACTGTGAATTTTTGTTGGTGGTCAGGTAGAGGCAGAAAGAAGCAGAGTTTCACGCCGTACATCTGCAACTTGGGAAGAAGATGCCGAGATCAAGGCACTCGAGTAAGTTTCTTGAACAATCTTCTTTCTTCTGTCTCGAGAAAACGTCTCCTTTACGTCCACTGAGGGTTACATATGATGGAAGATGATGTTAGGAGCTATACCATTGAGTTTGTTCTTAAACAATTCCGTGTAACTTCCAGGCCTCTTCCATTGTATCACCGACACATGGCTACAGCAACCGTACAGGTAGAGATTATCAGGATTCACATATATTGTAAATCTCTGTTCAAAGTTTCGAGCTTTTTCTTTTATTTTATTTTGGGACCATCCACTCTTTGCAGTTGCAGAAGGCAGCTAAGCTATTAGACTCGGGAGCTGTAAGGGCAACGAGGTTCCTTTGGCGGTACCCAACAGCTCGAGTTATCCTTCTTTTCTATCTTGTGAGCTCTCTTGTTCATTCCCACTCTCCTTAGATTGTTTCGTGGGACCAAACCCGAGCGTAAAAAAACTTCTTTTTATTTTCATTACAGGTGTTTGTCCATCTCTTCTTGATGTATCTGTTGCACCGGCTTCAGGTATTGCACGTATCCATCCTATCCATAACCGAGAAAATCGCAAGCTCGGGAATCTTAACGTTGTTATATCGTACTAAACGTTTGTAGGAACAAGCCGACGGCTTAGCAGCTCTAGAAGTTGCACAATCAATGGGACTGGCCACCAACCCTATCAGACCATAATAACCAAAGCTAAAGAAGTTGGCTTTCAATGTATTTGACAAAGAGAGTGAAAGGAGAAGGGCTTTGGCTCTTGGATTTTTCATTTTTAATATAGAGAAATAACTGATTGCTGATATTAAAACATGTGGTGGCTTCTTTCTGAGGCTTTGTTCTTCTTAGAGCTGCTTTCAAATGAAATTTACAGTTTCCCTTATTATATATATATATATATATATATATATATATATATATATATATATGAGAT